TTCTGCTTTTGAAATTAAATTAATCTTTCACTTGCCAGTAGTTTAACATTACACAAGGCAATACATTTATGGTGTTTAAACATAATTGCCATTGCGATTTTTAATGTTTTAATATTCTAAAAATTTTATATATATATATATATATATATATAAGTAAAATATTGAAAAGGAAAGTTTTTCTCAATATGAAGAGTTTGCCTTATATGTGTGCATGTTCCTATCCATGTCAGTTTACAGAAAGAAAGTGTAAATAGTGGTATGTGATTCAAATGCAGCTGTTTCATTCCATTTGTGTGCAGTTTTATTTTTTAATTATTTTATTGGTATAATTTCAAACTGTTTCATCATGGTTAATAAATTATTATTTACTTATGGATATGTGACAAATTTTATTTGATGGTATTTTCTTCTTAGCTAAAACTTATTCTTTTCTTGCCAAAGATGAATTTTTAAAAAAAGTAAAAAAGAAAAGATTAAGGATTAACCAATTTCGAAAAGAAAATATTCACCAAACCTTGAAAAGCAAAATAATTTCAAAATCACACTTGCTTTCCATATTGCTAAAATGTTTTTACAAAGTGAATCAGTTTCCATCAACAATAATCTTGCATTAAAAAAAAATTCATTCTTACATGACTAATGATTAATTTCTTTTTAAATTTTATTTGAAAACATATTAAAGCGTACATGATTTATTTGAATATTTCTCCTTAATAATGTTTTTCAATTATATAAAACATTATTTTCAACTCATGTTGGATTAAATTTTTTTTTTAACTTTGAAGTGATATTTATTTTTCATGAAAAACCATTTAAAAGTAATAAGTGTTCCTTAATGAGAAATATTTGTACATACATGTCTTCCTAATTGGTATATGAAAATAGGAAGAATTTGTAAATGCAACTTTGGACAAAAGCATAAAGCTATAAGAAACACATTATTCCAATCACAGGATTTTCCCTCTCTTTAACCAATGTAAGAGCAATTATGTTATTATTAATAGTTTATGTGGATGCCTGACCAATTGGGAGAGACCCATACATATGCCAGTGATTATTATAAGTATAATGTGGTTAAAGACCTTGTATACGTATTTGTACAAGAATGTAAGAAATGCTGTTATATCAATACTTGGGTAGGTGATAACTTTCAGATATTCTTTGCTATTGGTTTTCATTTCTTCCCCTTATTGTACATTGCTTGTCGTGGGTTTACTAATCAGATATTCTAACACAGATTTGAAGAGCAAATGTTAGGACATGTACAACAGAAGGGAACATTTATAACAGTGTTACCAACCATGCTGCATATGATCAATAGCATTAAGCAGAAAAACTACATCTATAAAATAACAACTCTTTATTAACTTCTTTTGTGAATTATTTTCTTCTACTTTCAATTTTTATAATTATTTCTTATAGATATTTTTCCCAGTTTTTATACTTTTAGTGAGTGACTTGTAATCTATGGTATCTGCTATGAAGTTACTTTTGTGTTTTTTATAATATTCTTAAACTTGAAGTATGCATGAAATATCAATGAAGGTTAAAATAGAGGTGAGACCAGATGTAGCTTCAATTAGAGTTTACACTCGTCCCTCTGATAACCGGCTTGTTTGTTAAGAACAAGAACTAAAAACCAGAGACAATAGAGTATTTTAGTGAAATTGTTAATTTTCATGTTTAAAATCAGCTTGATATTGTATATAAAGCCCAAAAGTGTACAAATATTCTAAAAAAAAAAACAAAACAAATAAAAATAAAAAAAAGTCTTTCCACAATATGATATCCAAACAAAGGTTAAAAAAATTAATCAAAGCACCAGAATGACAGAAAACTGACCTTGGGCAGAAGAGAGACTATCCAAAAGCAAAAAGAATTAACAAAGCAATAAATTAGAAAAAAATATATACATTACCTTAATCTCAAACCAATTTTTTTCATTCCCTCTTTATGTAAAGCACTTCTTATTTTGTCCTCAGGGTCTAATCTAAATATTAGCTGCATTATATGAACAAGTAAACACTTCCTTTTAATAAAGAACAGTAGAAACTAAGACACAATAAGAACAGATAAGCATATAGTCTTGTATGGAGAGCAGATCATTTTGTATTTTTCCAATATCATTACCAAAAATGATGGATTAGGAATAGGTGATTATAAAAATTAATGTCCAGAGAGCAAGAGAAAAATCCAAGATATTTGCTGCAGCTAATCTAAGATGAAGATTTTCACATCTAGCTAAGGTACTTCCCCACCACAAAAAAACCCCTGAATATTCCATAATTAATCAGTTGAACATTAATGCTTATAAAATAAAAAAATGATACAAATGCTGATAACTGATCACAAGACAATTATAAAACAAAGGAGAAAATAACATTTAAAACATCTTTTTTTAGATAATATATGATAAGCAAACCAAAAATGTAGTTTAGTTAATATTTCCATGTTTATTTATATCATTCTCAAGTGAAATAAGATTGAATTATGAAAATTAACATTTTGCCAATCAAATATTGATGACTTCTGTTTATTGAGTTGTTTTCATTCTTTATATTGGGAATTACAACAGTGGAAATCAAATATGCTTCAGTACAGTATAAAACTGATTAGAAACTTAGTGTAAATTATTCAAAATTTGACATGACAATTTTTTTTTATGAAGTTCAAATGAATCCACACCAATTTGCTTTAACATTCAGCCAACTTTCTTCTAAGAAGCATGAGGTATATCAACCTTGGAGTCCCTTCTTGCAACAAGTAGTCATTATCTTAGAAACACCTGCTGTAAGAGTGATTGATAGTGTGCTCATCACAAAAGCCATTGCTGAGTTTATCTTTCAGTATCTTGACCTTGAATCTGGTCTTAACTTAGTCCAACAAACATTTGTAAATGCACTCTGTTTAGATTTTATTTTGCACAAAAAAGAGAATTGATTTATATTTTTATTGAATTGTTTTTTTTCTGACTTCCCTTGTGATGAATCTTTAATCTTATTCAAGAGCTGATCAACTAATCTTAAAGTTCTATAAATGCAAAGTTTAGTTAATGAGGTTGTTAAGAGCAATAGTATAAATAGCACCAAGAAAAATCCAATTCAACCAATTCTTTAACCACTAACCATTTCACTGTGTAATTCATGGTAAATATGAGAAAATGAGAAGAGAGTAGAGGTAGACAATATTCAGAGTTCATCTTGGTGAAAGCAATAAGTCTCTTGGAAAATGAAAACAATTTGTATCAGCAGTAACACATTTTAGGCTCTTAAAGTTTATAAAGAGAACAGACAACAAAAGTATTGGACATTGGTTTACATAAAAAAAATGAAGCCTTGGGGTGGTTGCAGAGTCAGTTCATAAGACAAAAATTACAAACAGAAAAAAGCATTTATGTTATTTACAGATTTAAATTAAGCTTTCTTCCATTTCTCTATACAATTCTATAGAGAATTTTTTTATAGGATAATGCAACATGGGTGAGATTTCTAACTAAACATGCTTAAACCAAATGTGTAGGGATTTCTGGAATCATTTTCAGGTATTTTGCAAATCAAACAAAATGAAAAGGAAAAATATCTGCAAATTTTTACCTTTTCTGCCAAGATTCCATTTTCAGCTGATTTTGAATTATCTTTCATGAGATACAATAAAATAAGTTTAAATTTAGACACTCAATTATGAAGTAATACAAAAAAATGATAACTCAAGACCATCAAATCTGTCTTGTCTCCAATTAGCAATCAAAATTCATTTTAAAGTGTAATGGATAATGCATTGTGTATTACTTTAAAAACCCACTTGAAATGCAGTGGCAGAATACTCATTTTAAACACATTGCATACAAAATGATTATGACTGTGAAAAACTTTCATTTTCTAGAAGTTGTGAAAAAAATTGAAGTCATTAAAACTGAGAAAGCGTTTGATGAAAAAGTATTATAAAAGGTTCCTTTAGGATGTTTCCCTGGAAAGGGAAAATAAATTTAGCTACACTTCAAAAATATAGTTTGTTTTTCATTCATACATTAGTTCATCAGAGCACTTTTTAAAAACAATTACCAAATTCATTTATTTAAAACCCAATAGAACAATGTAAGATACTAAATATAAATAACCTAAAATTTTAAACCATATTCTTTGAACACAATTCAAGCCAGTAATTAAATAACATTATTGCACAACAAAAGAGTAAAAAATAACTCTTACAGTAGGTACTAATACTTGGTATGAAAGTAGCTAAAGACAGGATCACATTGTAACAGTTCAGTATGCAGTTCTCAGTGACAAAAAATGGAGTGCCTGAAAATAGCTTAAACAGCCTACAAGGTGGTTGGTAATCAAGTCAATTATACTTTAGGAGGCTCTTGCTAATATCAACAAGCTTACTAAATATTCTAGTAGATTATTTGATCAAGTTCTGAATTTGCTTTAAATGTTATTGACTGATGAAGCTAACTTCCTTTAGAACAGATATTTAATATAAGCTCTAATGTTAGTCATTATGCTTCATGAGCAATTTCATTTACTTTTAGAAATTTAATTTCGTGTGTACAATGTTTTATTTTAAATTTTATTTCAACAATTGTTCCAGAAAATCTGCTATTTTTCTTGTTATATTTTTGTCTGAAAACAAGAAAAGAAAATTGACAGAAAAACTCATTTTCTTTAATTAGAAAAGATAGGTTCAGCTATATGACAGTTTTTGGAAACATTCCTTAACTTTATTTCAATACAAGGTATTTTCTATAAATCTTCATCATCAGGCTTGCAATGGATCAAGACAAGAGCGAGTATTGCATTATAGGTTTGGTATATTAGTAATGAAGTGGAATAGTTTCTCAGAAAATAGGGGGCATCAACAAAATTAAAGCCCATATCAAATTGAATGGTCAGGATTTGTTGAGATGATCTAGAAACAAATGCAATATGGCTAATAACAGTTAGAAAAGAGATTGCAGCAGGTTAGAGGAAGGCTTCTACGTACAGCAAAGTACTTACCACTCGTATCTCATACTACAAGAGAAATATTACAGATTTATTATTACAAATTCATTAGAAGAGGTTTCATTATTTGGGAAACTATAAACGTCTTAACAAGTGGAGCAGAATTAAAATATAGAAAGAAATGTTCTACAAAGATGTGCTGACAAGTTCTCAGTCTGATCCACTTCCTAAAATATTGGAAAGTCAATCACCAAACATCAAAATCTTGATTTTGGGAAGTGAGTTAGACCAAAAACTTTTCAGTGTCTTTCATGTAACCAAGAAATATAAGAGAATGTTGTTTTAGTTCTTGGACATCTATCAGTATAAACAATCACACAAAGATTACCTGTACTTACAAACTTATAAACAAATCATTGTCTGCTTTCCCTTCTAATAAATGAATGCTTAAATGATAAACTTTATATTTTCCTTTATTACAAGAAAAATTATTTAACATAAGAGTCATTTTGCACAAAGAATATATTTTTATAACAACTTTATTTGTTGTGTCTTATGAAGTTATTGACAAGACTATATATATATATATATATATATATATATATATATATATATATATATATATATATATAACATTTAGATATTTTGCAAATTACAGAAGAATATTTTTAAAGCATTATTTAAAAAAGGAGACAAACAGGCTGTATGTTTCAAACTAACTTCTACCTTCATATGCCATCTTTTATTATTACAATAATTGGTATATTTATAACCATAAAGTTTTTCAATGACTATACAAATAAATGATCATTTTTTTGTTTTTTTAATGCTTTCTAGTTTTACATGTATATGATAAAATGAATTTTAGATATTCAAGGAGATTCAAAATTAAATCAAAATGTTTTGGATGAGTAATTACATCTCTCACACTTAATCAACAATGCAAGTTTATGTCAGTCCAGATAAAAGCAGAGATTTCAAAACATTAATTTCCAAGTAATGCAGATTCTCCTGTTTAAAATCTTTATGTAGAATGATAAATATTATGCCATTGACATTTATTGCATAAGACAAATAAATATGCATGTCATCACATAACACAGCCTGTGGTTAAAGGCTGCACTAATATTGCAGGAGAGCATGAAGTACAGAAAGAAAACTCACTTGAATTTACAAAAAGATCAAATCTATCAATTACAGAAAATGACTGGTTTTTTTTTGGGTTTTTTTTTAAGCATTTCACCCCAAGCAAGGCAGGAAGCCACTAGGACGCAAGGGGTCACAGAAAATTTAGAGCAAGATCAGATAGGGGTGATAGAAGAAGGCAACTGGAGATGTCGATTGACATTACACTTGAATAGCTGGAGATTATAGCTCACAGGGAAACAGGAGAAGGGAAGGGAGTTCCACAGGCGAGAGGTGCGAGACATGAAGCTATTAGAGTAGAAGAGACGGCTACATTTAGGAGTTTCGACAGTGAAGGGGTGAGAGCTGGATGCCAGCCTCGTAGGGCACATGAACGCATGACGTCTGGGAACCAGCGAATGCAGCTCCTTGGAGCAATTTCCATGAAAGTATTTGTAGAACAGACAGAGGGAGGCGACGGGGCGTCTGTGAGAATGTGACTGTAGACGAGACACCAGGGCAGGGCCAACCATATTGCATATCCGCCTCTGGAGCCTATCAAGAACCCCGAGGCAAACAGAAGGGGCACCAGACCATATATGCCAGCAATACTCCATGCAAGGGCGAATTGTGGATTTGTATATCTGGCAGATCGACTCCGGGGAGAAAAACTTCCTAGTGCAGCTCAGGGAGCCGACGTTCCTTGCAATGGACGAGGCAATTGACTCAATGTATTTATTCCATCTCAGTCAACGTGAGACCGAGAAGCCGCAGAGAGTTGCTCTCGAGAAGTTGAGCGTCAGACATTCTAATGGAGGGAAGGGAAGGCTCTCTGTGGTGATTAATAGAGAGCAGTTTTGTCTTAGAAGCGTTGAAGTTGACCAGCCAGTTCATGCCCCAGTTCACAATCGATTGGAGGTCCTTTTCGAGACATACGGCCAGGTGAGTTTTGTCAGCGAGACTAGATTTGTTTTTGAGGCAGGAATAAATTGTAGTGTCATCCGCGTAGATTGGGAAGCTATGGCGTCAGGAAGGTCATTTATGTAGATAAGGAATAGAGTGGGGCCTAGGATGGAGCCTTGAGGAACACCTGCGTTCGTGGGATAGGAACTGGAGGAGAATCCGTTGAGAACGACCTTCAATTCACGGTTTGACAGGAATGATTGTATCAGGTTATATAATCGACCCGTAATGCCATAACCCTGGAGCTTGCGAAGAAGGCCGGCATGCCAAACCCTATCAAATGCTTTGGAGATGTCTAGTGCCACGGCTCGGGCTTCCCCGTTATTTTGGAGAGCTCGGTAGACTGTTTCAGTGATGGCTGTAAGCACATCGGCTGTAGATCGGGCAAAGCGGAAACCATATTGCTTGTCTGAGAGCAGATTATGGGATGTGAGGTGGTTAACCACCCTGGTAATGATTAGAGCTTCGAAGACTTTGCCGAAGAGGGGAAGGAGACTGATAGGACGGTAGTTGGAAGGGTCAGAGGAAAAGTAAAACTTATTTTAAGTTTTCTCCATTTCTTTGAATTTGGAGAAAATAGTTAAGTATAAAACAATTTTTTCTTGTAAGAATCATGGAAATGACACTTATGTGTGATAGATTATGATGAATTTCCACACCAGACTTATCTTTATAAAACATTTTGGAAACAAGGAAATAGTACAGACAAATTTTTAATTCTGTCTGTGTGTAATTTCTCACTAAAATGTTAAATAACACCTTGTTAGAAGTTTAAAAAAAATATATAATTCCAATTTTTTTCTTGGCCAGGCTTCCCAGCTATGACACCATCAAGATGGCTGCCAAGTTATTCTGATTGTTCTCATTCAATTAAACATAAATTTTCATAGATTAATTTTGTAAAAATGTTCCAACTTAAATTTGCCATTTTTTTCTCAAACATATATGTATAGAAATCTAGTAGCTTTTCTTGAAAATTTCACTTAAAGAAAAAAACAAAACAAAAAAAACATATTCACGATTACAAAGTATCAAGTTCAACCCTAATTTATTTGAATACCCATCACAAAATGCTTCCCTAAGGATTCAGAAATATAATATGATGGGATTTAGAACAATTTTGAGGAAGATATTAATGGAATTTATGTTATGGCTGTGATGTGAAGCAAATTAAATTACAGGGATTATAGGATATATTTGTCTAATAACCATGATTTATTTTATTTACATCCAATATTTTTAGGTTCTATATTTAATAAGGGTTTTAAAATGTTTTTAAAAATGCGAATTTTATAAAATCTCAGTTGTGAAGGTTCACAGAGAGTCATGTTGGTAAATTCCTGACTTGACATTGACTTTTAAAGGGCTGAATTATAATCTGGATAATAGAAATTATTGGCAATCAACATCTATTTGGCATTTTTAATCTGACAGACTCTCATCTGATATGTCTGATTAATGTTGAAAGGAGTATTGTTTCTGGAAAGTCATTAAATGAACCCATAAATACATCATATAATCCTGAAATTTTATAAAATACACATCTTTAAAACCTTATGAAATATACATAACCCTTTTGCACACTTTGATATAAATAAACATTCCCTGGGTCTTAGAAATTTGGAATGTTTTTTTTTTATCAAAATCAATATGGTGAATAAAATAATGCAAAATTTTTGATAATAAAATGTGCAAGCAAGAGTGAATTTCAGAAAAAATTCAACTGCACTAAAACAATCATGATAAAAACCAGAGTGATTGAAAAATAAAACAGCAAGTAAAGAAATGAATTTAAAATACAGGCAGCTGACAAGTCCATTTTGGTACATAAATTCTACATTTGAAAGTTATTGAGTTGAACTTCATATAAGGATTGTGAAATTAGATTAAATTCAGTAGTTAGCGATAGATATGGAAATGCCAAAAACTTACTGGATCTGTGGTTGAATTATTTTGGTTTTGCCCCTGATCATTTTCTTCATCAGATGAGTATTCCTCAAGTGTACCATCACTAAAGTGAAGAATACGCCTTGGGGCTTTCTTCTTGGCATTCATAGCAGCATCTCCATCCAATGGAATGTTAGTGAAGTCACGGTCAGGACTCTGCACCTGTGGAAAATCATTGAAAACTAAAGACTGGAACAGTTGACAAAACAGGTTATAATTGGTTACAAATAATTTTCATAATAATAATAATAATAATGTGTAGTTAAACACATTAAACCATGGAAAAAATTACTTCGTTAAAAACAATGTTTAACATATTAAGAAGTAATGAGAGCCCTCTTATGTTCATTCTAAAGAGGACAATTAGGGAACATGCAATGAATATAAACTGTTTTGTTTGAAAGATAAAACTAAAATATATATTTCTGGTAAACAGACAAGTTCTTGTATTTGTTATTATTTCTAGTACTGTCATTTTTAAGCCTTCAGATACTCACTGTACATATGAAAGAAATCATTAACTAAGTATTAACTTTGTAAGATTTAAAAATTTTTATATAAAACCAAATTATTAAATTATTTTCTGGGAGAAATTCAGTTATTTATGGAGTCAAATGTAAATAAACATTCATTAGAAAAATATAAATTTGATATAATATAAGCCTATGATGACAGGAGTTACAGTGACCTGCAAAAATATTAGGTTAGTAACAATAATAATGTTATAATAAGTTTTTATGACTTTTCCTTCCTTAGCACAGTACTTCATAAATAATGGACTATTCCATTTTGATCACAAGGAAAAGCCAGAAAGGACATATCAGAGAGACACTGTTTGGTTTCAGTGAGAAAAACAAAGAAAGAAAAATCAAAATTCAAACAGGAAAGCAGTGAAATTTTCCTGGTTACTGCTAGTTTCTATTAATATTATTGCTACTTGTAGTAGAATTGTTCTAATTTTTAATTTCTAGGTTTATTTTCTGTGCAAGTCTTACACAATTTGGTGATTTCTTTCATATCCTCAACTGAGTAGGTAAGGTTTTTGATTTTGTCATGTAGACCATGTGTGTAACATCTGTATGGCACAACTCTCTATGTATTTTTTAATTTGTCTTTGCAAGAAGAGGAGCTATATACAAAAGAGGGCATCCACAGCTGCATTTTCTTTACTGGGGTGGTACATTACATTGAATGAGTAACATGAGAGTTCCATTCTCTACCTGGCTATCTTCTCATTTATAATTTTATTCTATTACAATTTAATATACACTCATTAACCATTTTGAAAATAGCTAATTTACTCTGTCCAGAGAAACTTATCATTGACCCCAACATGTCTGACACTGAACTGGAATATTGTTACTGGAGAGTAACTTTCATAAACTTCTTAAGTATGTGCAGTGACCAATGTTCTAATAAGCGATACTATCTCACCAAATATGTCTCAGCACAAGTTTATGAGTATTTTGTGGACACATCTTCCTACGAAGTGGCTTTAACAATACTCGACAGGATGTACATTAAAAAGAAAAATGAAATGGTCTCTAGAGGCTACAAGGCGTCAACTGTCCGACAAGAGTACTCGAAAACAGCACCTAAACATTACAGCAGGCCTATGACCAGGTTAGAGTATATTAAATTGTAGTAGAATTGTTCTAGACAATACATATTGCTTATCAGTAAGCTTTAATATACTCTGTATTTACCTGAGTTCACAACAAGGTGGGATCTGGCACTAGGCTGGTTTTTAAGGTGGGGGCTTTCTGAGCATATACACTCGGGCAAAAATTCACTGTAGACCCTGCATACACAGGGTTGGGTTGCTGCCTACTTTTCCCCCAGACAAAAATATACCTCTAGGTATAGCCTCGCTTGAGTTCATCTCCGCCTTTAAGAAGAGAGTCTGACAAGCTGAGCTTTAATATATTCTGCATATCAGCAAAGTTCTGAATGTATATGTTCAGGACAGATCCATTAATGGGGGAGATGGACCATACCACACTACTAATCTAAAATTAAGTTGAATATAGTAAATACATAGTATATCTGACATATAAGGAGAAATAAGCCAATGTTTGCCAACACAAATTTATTAATGAATATAATTGAAAGAGACATGCAAATTTTTTGAACACATTTCAAAATTATAAATGAAGTGAGATAAAAATTTTACTTCTGAATTGATGCTACTCAGATTACTAACTGACTAATCAGAGCAAGTCTCATATCATAACCAACAACTTACAACATCAATGTATGTTTGAATGGTCATTGAAAGAGTCTGGTTGACAGTGGCAAAGGTTTTCATAAAGGTTTGTGAAATGATAATTGACCATCATAGTTGTGAAATGGGATATCAAAAGCTCTCTAACAAGACCAATCTATATGATTAGAGTTATCATTTGAAAATGGAAGGAACATAGTCAGACTACTGATCTGCTTCAAAATAGACATCCTCATAATGGACAAGTAGCTAGATCCATTGTTGGAAAGAAATACACAAGTTTTTCTCAACCCAAAGAAAACTTCAGGAGGATCTGCAGATAACTGGTACAGAAGTGAGCAGGTGAATACAAAAGCAGATAGACAAAATCCAAATGAAGGGAACAGCAACATCAATTTCTTGTTCAAAGTGACAATTCTTCACTAGGCACTTAATACAAAAACTGACAAAGGAGAAATTGGCCTAAACACGACTATGATTGAACCACTTTTAACCAACAGGGACTAGCAGAGAGTGCCAAGTCTCCTGCTGCTGATCTCAATGCAATTAGCTTCTATGTAGATCTAACAGATACAATTAGTTGAACATTATACCAGGTAGGATTGCATTCTCAGATTCTTGGAAATTAACACTGTCCTGAGGGGATAATAAAAAAAAAAAAAAAATTTAATTTTGGAAGAAACAGTAACTTCTATTCCACCAGATCTTATGTAGACTGTTCTTTATTCATAACACAGATGCCACACCACAGAGGGCTTCATTGAAATAAAGAGTTATTTCCCTTGGGGTAATATTTTTTTAGACACACACACATGCATATATATTAGAGATAAAAAGAGAAAATCAGGCTGACATTATTATATCCATCTGTTTATTTGCGTTCTTACTCTGTCCCAACCTTTATTCACTCAAATCTTTTATATTTGATTTATACCCATTAGAACAATCAAACAAAAAACAAAAATACTAAATACAAAATTATCTTAAATTTTCATATTTTCATTTATTTAATGAAAAATAAAAACTTAATGATTAAAGTGAAAAAGTTCTCCATTGGAATTTTCACCAAACTAGTCAATATCAACCTTTTTCAAATTTCTTATTAATCATATTTTCCAAGCCAGCCAAAAAAAAAAAAAAAAAAAGATTGAATATCAGGAAATTTATGAAATCTTCTAGATGCTCATTAAATTAATGACAATCTGGAAAAAATTTTGAATGACATGTTTTGTCCTCTAGGACAGGACTTCAGACTAAAGTTATGTTTTTGTAGATGGAATTATATATGTACAGGAAGGTGAGGGGGAATATAAAAATGAAAACATTGGTTATAATTATGTAAACAGGAAATGCTGAAAATGTTAGGACATTGAAATTTTAAAATCCAAAAATTGTCTTTTATAGAAGTACTAGCAGCATGGCCTGGCGGTGCCCATGCTTGATTCAAAAATCGTACGACTCATACAGCAATTGCTATCACTTGACTTAAAATATTTTTGCCCTTCCTTGCCTTTAAAGGAGTGTCCTTTGACGTGTTGATGTTGCTACATGCCTTACTTCTTGCCTATCTCACACTGCAAATTTTTTCTAAGCTCAATACTAAACATTAAATCTGTTACGAAAAAAGAACTAAACAAAATGAACACAAAACGATCAGCTTTAAAAAAGGACTTGTAACTGGAAAAACCAAATGAAAAAAGAATGTTAACAACAAATACTTTTTCACACCCAACCCAGTTCTACGGAATCAGAATCAACATTGAGTTTAAGCAAGCAAATGAGCCAATTGAAGTAAAGTGCCATGCAGATTTAAATTTTTTCCATTTGTGACAAATGCAGCTATCGATTTTTTTGCATGCTAGCATGTTAGTTAACATTCGTGTCAGTCAGCTGTTGGCTCTCATGCTGGCCAATAGAATCTTCCTGTCTATTCGTGGCAGCCAGCTATAGGCTCTCACTCTGGCTAGTAGAAAATGGCTGCAAACTACATGAAAACTGCCATAGAAGCATGAAAAAATCAATTATTTCCACTATCGATGGGAGTTGGGAAATGCAAAGTCGGTCTTGGCCTTCTTGGAGCATGAGCATGTATATTTTGGTGCAAATCCGTCGAAAATTGCAGCTGTGCATTCGTTACACACACACACACACACACACACACACACACACACACACACACAGATCCTGCCTTTTATAGATAGAGATGCAGTCTAACTGATTTCAAAACATGTCACAATTCTTTTTCATTTTATCATTAATGACATTGTTTAGATATATAAAAAGTTACATATCATATATTCCCATTCCCATGAAAGTAAAAAAAAAATTGTCATATGTCAAATATTATACATAGCCTAAACTCCATAGAATGACTGCTGCAAAAATTTATATAAGATTTTGATATTCACTCTTCTGAATAATTGAGCAAACAAAAACCTCTTTTCTGAGGAGCCTGTAGTTAGAATTAACTTTCCAATAAGCAAAAATGACATTAATTTTTTTAAAACATTTTCATTGCGTAAGTAGCAAATTGCACATGGAAATGTGATAGAGTTTGTTTTTTTTTTTTTAACTTATGCAGAAGTCATACATCAAGGTGAGAACCATAAAGTTGGTGCAAATCATTTCAATGCTTGATTTATATATTTTGAGTATAATGTTGTATAGTGATGATTATTCTTTAGTTTATTTCTGCTGTATTTTTTATTAACTTCAACTGATGTACCCAACCATGGAGTATCATTCAGGGAAAAATCACAAACACAAAAATTCTTAAACTATTTTTGACACATTTGATCATCCAATTATGACAAAAAAAAAATCCACACTGATATGACAGCTATTACAATTTTTTTTTTAACTGAAGCTAGTTAAAACTAAATGCTGTTATTAGTCTAATGACAAATGTAAATAAAACTTTTTGGCCAATCCAACACAAAAATAAATTGTATGAGAAGAAATATTTAATATTTTCCAATTCCTTTGGTCTGAAGTTAATGCAGTGAAAAATTAGCCAGTCTCTTTTAACCAATCAGCTCTATAGCAATCAAAAAATGGGCTAAGAACTTGAGAACAATCAAGCAGATATTAATAATGAAGCAAAACTGGATCACTGTAACTGACTTGAATCTTGTTGGTCACTAGTAAAAGAACTGACCAGTTTTGAGCCTAAGACACTTCCTTTATTATTCTATATCTAGACAGTTCATATCCAGAATCTCCACCATATCTAAGACAAGAATACACTCTAGAAGTCAGGAACAGTATTGTGGAAGAGAAAAGAGAAAAAAACAAACTTTCCAAATGGTTCAATGTCCTGATAAGCTTGGTACAGTAAATAAATCAGGAATGGAAAAAAGAAGGGACAATTGTAAACTATCTAAGACTTAGTGCCCCATGAAAGATTTTGAAATGTACCTGGCTTGAAACTTGATTGTTAGCAACCAAGAATTACCTATAAATAGTTGGTTGCTGACCTGAATTTCACTGGGACAGTTGTCACAAGCCAAACAATATGAAATACTTTGCAAGTGTGAGGTGATATGAAAGTGCTAACTTTGCTGAATAACACTAATGTAGAAAAGGCATGTTTAGGCATGAACAAAGTTTGCTAATAAAAAATATATCTTTTCAGGTGTGAGGAAACCAATATTGACCTATTTGACAATAATTATACTAGTCTTATGTAGTGGAAAATGGATGACACTTATGATTCAAGGAATATCATACCCTACATGAAGCATAGTCGTAATAGTATCATGATGTAGTGACACTTCTTTTCCATGACAATATCACTCACAAATATATGTTATTTTAAATAACTCTGAAAAAAATAAAAAATAAAAATGAGTAACCTGGGCTAGGAAATTACCTCACCTAGTTTACTAACTTGTTTTTCAAATATCTTTATAATTTCCTGCAAAAGATGTTTTTTTGACAACGAAGGAATAGTTCAAAATACCTTTTATCAAAACAGACTCCAGAATTCTATTTTACCAGAATAAATAAACTTATTGTTACCAACAATACAGTGATTATAATTTTGATTAATAAATTTACATTAGAAACCATAAAAGAAAACGAAATGTAAATTTAAGTGAATTTTTCAGAGGAGGAGGGCATGAAAATTGAGAGAAAAGAAATTTAAATTGGAGCAAAAAACTTTTCTCTTAAGAGCATTTGTATGACCAATTTGACATTTCAACAGGTTTACTAATTGAGGTCAGTAAGCTAATTTCATCGCATAAAGATGTAGGTTCTTCAATTAAACTGAAAAAATAGAAGCTTGACTTTGATTCAAGGAGTAACTCATTCACAAAGCTGGCAGAAGTTAATGGATACAAATACATGTCTATTTCATCTAAGTGTCTATCTGCAGCCAAATAGGCATTAAGCTTTAATGTCATTATACAAATGATAAGTAGCCTAAAGAATAACGCCTAAGGTGATTTACAATATGCTGAAATTTCTTAATCATAATTATTTCTGTGATTCATCTATAAGAGAACGACACATTTTGCTAAGAGGGAAAAAAAGATTAATTAAAAATGGCTGATGGCAACTTGTTAGATAACATTCTGAAAAAATTCAACACAAACAATATAACCAACTTTAAATTAGTGAAGTCTAAAATACCTTATTTATACACTTGTCATGACACAATTTTCTTGAAAAGTCAATATTTTAATATCTGTTGTTTTCAGAACTTTAAGAAACTAAATAAACGCAATGGACATGATACCAGCAATGAATTAAGGATTTTAGTTAACTGTTATTTAAAGTAAGTTATATTTAAAATGTGAGTTAACTACAATTTTATCATATATTCACTTCAGTTGAGCTTCTTAGAATTAATTTATTTTATAAACAACTTTCAAATATTAGTTCTTAATATTATGTTGCAATTCTTTCACTAAGAAAAAAGGAAAGATATTTCTTACTGATTATCTAAGTAGAAATAAGCTAGAACAGGTTTCTTGGAGAAGAGATTCATCTAATACTAATTCTTATTATTATTGAGATAAATAAAATAATGAAGTATAAAAACATTTTACATACTATTCAAAAGTAATTTATATAAGCTGCAAATATTTCTAAATGTAAAGTTTATAACTATGCTTTACTTTTAAGTGTTAAGTTGAGTTTTTTTTATCTACATTTTCTGTATAATGTGATTTTCAGTAGCTAAAAATGGAACAGTATTAAATTTAGCAAAAAAAGTTTGTTCTTCAGTCTCCTGTTAAAACTCTTCACCAGACAGGTAATTAATTTAGTATAACAGATTTTACATGGAGAAACAATTTCCAATTAAAGTGTGACATTCCATTAAAAATTAAATGGAAACATTAAATAAATAAAAAGTCAAGCTCTGAATAAGTGAAGCAAGGAAACTTTACAGTTTATAACTAGACCTTTTATGATAGTAAATATTTATTGTGAAATACAATTGTCATTATCAATGAATTTTTAATTTACAATATCATTATAAATAAAATAACTTACATTTACATATTTGTATGCATACTGAATAGTCAGTTGTGACAACTATGAGTTTACTTTAAATCCTCTGTGTGGTAAAGTTTCAAAATGAGTAAAAACTAAACTAAAAGCTATATTGCAAATTATGTGAATTTGGTATTAAATATGTAAAACATTAAGGAAGCTATAATTGAATTTTAGGTGTAAAAAAAAATATGTTCTTAAAATATCTTGCGTTTGATTTGAATGTTGATTAATCTCTAGCTAAACTTTGAAAGACATTAAAAGTGTCAGTGTTTGAGTTAAAAGATTCATGTCAAGAAAGTAAGTGTTACAAGAGTAGGTGTGTTTTTACTGAAAAACAAAACAACGATTTCTATACAACACTGTAAAATACAACTTATCTCCAAACAAAGAAACTTAAATGTCTGAATGAGTCAAGCAAGATCATCATTCATAAACACACAAAAATGGAATTCAACTTGATACGTAAGAAAAACAAACTTGGAGTCTACCATATTGTAGAAATCATGTATTGCCTAAAAAAAAAAAAAAAAAAAAAATCACGTTTTTTTTTGTTTTTATGTCAACGTTATGTCTTTGTTTTTAATTTTTTTTTGACCATCAACTAACCTCATAATTAAACTTTTCAAAATAGTGTTTTTCAAGATAAAAAAAAAAAAAATGACTGAATAATGTCCTAACACTAACAGTAGTGAGTAGTGTTACTGTTTAACAGTTAACACTTTCTCTTCAGAAGAAAGTGAAATAATCAAGTCATTTAAGTGTATTAATGAAAGTTTTAACAAAAAAACATGAGGCTTGTAAAATAAATAAATTAAAAATCAATAATGGACAAAAATGAAAGTAACATCTGGATTTTAATGTAAAGTATACCAAAGATTGATTGATTTTGAAAAAGAAAAAAAGTATATACTGTGTACTGTAGAGTGTATTTTCGGATAAGTCGTTTTTGTAACTCAGCAACAAATAAAATTTTCCGAAAACTCATTATTATTATTATTGAAGAGTTCAATTTTTAATTGGACAAAAAATGTATTTTAACAATTTCACAAACTGCTACATGTAAAATTAATTTGCTTGCTCTTAATTTTAAAAGCCGATAGTTTTTTTAATTTAATTCAACACAAAAGTTCTCGTAATTAACTAAAATTTACATTAAATTAAATAAAGAGAGGTGCAAGGGAAATCATGTTAAAAAGAGTTTTACGTTTTTCATCAGTGTGTAAACTGTAGTGTAAATTATTAAAGATTAATACAAAATTTAAAAAAAGAGAAGTTTTATTTTTAAAACGGACGAGAGGCAAATAACTGCGTGTTATATCGTAAACTCGAAAAATTTTGATGGTTTTAAATAAATTATTCAAGTAAATATAAAAACAGACTCACTCACGAGTCAAGACTATCACAAAATTAGAATAATACACAACGGGACAAAAACAATTCAATACGCTTTTTAAACGGAATCAAGTTTGATAAGTGGAAGTCACATGATATTATTGGTCCCAAAACTGACAATTACAATTTATTTTGAAACTTTTAAAAGAGGACCAGACATGCAAATCTTCAGTGATTTTTTTATCTCACGTTTACCGTTTACGATTTGTGATTAATGGACTGTAAATTCATTAAGTTTTTTTTAAGTTTTTAATAACTATTAAAAGAAAATCAACCGACATGAAAACTAAAGTTAAGCTTAATTAATTCTTAGTTTTCATGACAGTTGAAATGAGTAAAAAACAAAAAAAACAAACAACATTTTGATTTATTTATGTTAAAAATCTTCTGAAATAAAGTTTTAAACTTTCAAAAATAAATGAAATATTAATTTACAATAACTGTTGTTAAAAACGTGTTTACGAAACTAAGATAATTTTAAAGAAATATGTTGGTGTTAAATTTCTTAAAAATATATGTGTTAATCATTTATTAATTAAACAGATAACATAATTTTTTTATTTCATGTCATTCTTCCCATTTTGTCCTGGTGGAAAAATCACATACACCTTAATTTTAACAGCTGTAAGCATGTTTACAGATAAGTCTTCATGAGAACAAAAGCAAATACAAGCACAAGTTTTTGTTATCTTCACTCTCAACGAACAAAGTAAAATGAAATTCAAGATCCCCAATGAATTCCTGAGACTTCTCCATTTTAGTGACTCATGCCTACTGAACAATGCATCGCCATGTTGGTTCGTTCATCATGTTGCAGATTAAAAAGAAAGTTACTACTCTGAATGAAAATAACTCAAAATGTAATTATGATGCCACAATTCCTGGTGTTAAATTCTTCCTAAAAACGAATTTTAACTTTTTAGAAGTGAAAGTATAAAATCTCTAATATTTACAGTGAAAATTTATATCACAAGGATAGAAAACGGAACTTGCCTGCGCCATCTTCCTTGTTTACGTTCGACTAGTGACGTTCGAATTTTATAATTAAATGAGGTTATTCCGGAATAGGAATTTATCAACTGGTAATCCTAAATTCTATTATTCCAAAACAACAGAATGCCAATTTTTTATTAAAATGAAGAAAAAAGAACTTTAATTTTGGTCTGTTGTACTAATTTCAATTAGGTTTTTTAATTTTGAAAAAAGAAAAGAAGAATGAAACTTTCTATTTGTTTCATTTCTTTTGATAAAGATTAGATTTTTTAAATAAAATCATAAAAAAAATGCTACGATGTAGCCAATAAAATCTTGTTTGTCACACTGACAATACCCACTTGTTAATAATGACTGAGACAATACGAAATTGCAAGAAAAATTGAATAAAAGGCTTAATCGCAGTACCTTGTCAGTCGTCTTTAATAAATCTTGTGTGTGTTATATATATAACAATTTGTAATTGGTAGGAATAATTCCAAAGAGAACATTAATCCAAAGAGAGCTCAGTGTAAGTTACAGAGCAATAAATGATAAATTAAGAAAAAAAATCGGTTATAAGACCTAAAGTTTTTTAAGAAAAAGGGGTCACACGGAAGTACAACGGAAGTCAACAGGAGGCCAGGGAAGAGACCTGTCACGGTCAGGTTGAGCGGTCAGCAGCAGGAGCGCCAGCGTCAACCAGTGTGAACTACTATGAGAGATCAACTCAGATTCGAAGCCAGCTTATGAACTTTACCACAAGGTAGCTGTCCTAAACCTACACGTTCCTGTTGAAATAAATCACGTAAATCTATTTCTGCTGTTGTCGTATTTCTTTCTTGCAACCATACGCTTGTCTATAACACTGGTGTCAGAAGTGTACAGCAAGAGAAATACACGAGCTTCACCCGAGCCGAACTATTTACTCTCATCAAGGAACAGAAAACACTACTATTCAACTTGAAAACGGGACCAACACATCCTTCCGAAGCCACAATACAAGAAATTCAAGCCGACATAAACGACATGCTGACTGCCCTAAAATCAACAACTTTAACACCTCCCACCGCTCAAACAAACGGCGATTACAGCTTAATGATGCGCCAACAAACTATACGCGACATATTGAAGCTAGAGAGAACTTTTTACCGATTCATCACGGCTCTAAACAAAGCATACACAATCCACGTCACGCCAGAAATCAGCACCTATCCCAGCCTGGAATGCGAATTCGTCAAGTCTGCTAAAGATTTACTGGACCAAAGTATCTTTCAGCAGATGGCTGACTCAAAAAAGACATATCCACCTTCGAACGACTGAAGGAATACTTATTAGCAGCCCACGGAAGCCAGATGACTAACTTCCAACACCTCAGTCAAACGGCGAGACGGCGAAAAATTAACAGACTTCGCGGGTCGACTCGAAAACACCCTTAGAGAGGCAGCCGTCCACATAAAAAAAAACAAATACAAAAAAGACAAAAATACAGACTTAACAGTCGATGGACTTATTTCCATCATCGGCGCTATGCTAATGAGCGAAAAGGTGAAAATTTGGAACTCAAATCTTTACCCACATCTTGTCAAGACAATGGACAACCACTATTCAGCCATTGGCATAGCCTCCGAAGCTCAAAGATACCTTGATCGCGGTGTAAAATCCAACGACACGACTTCGCACAACACTGTGTATTTCACACAGAAACCACAGCGGTCAAACCAAAGAAACGCGCCACTCCGACCCAGCAGGCAACCAAACCCACAGCAGACGGGCCTCACCAACCCTCCCGAACATGGCCACCATCCGACACGCAGAAACCATCAGCACACATCACGATTCAGCGTGTGCAAGAACCACCTCAGAGGTCGCCCCTGCCTCCATGGACGCAACTATATCGCCACCCACCTCGCACTCGGGCACAGGCCCATATCGCCGCAACGAATGATGATATACAAGCCATAAATGATGTGGAACAGGATTTTCGCTTCAGGCAGGACGAGATATGATGCCTCGTTCGCCGTGCCCCTACGTCAGCCATCACACCTTCAACTTTTAAGGACTCGCTCACCATTCACCGCTCGTTCAGTCCACCTTCAACTTCAGGGACATCACCTTCTCTGGCGTCGCAATGCTAGACTCTGGATGCTCCACCTGCATCTTACCAATATCTCAATTACCCAGAAAAGCCAAGAAACACATGACCCGCTCCGACGTCGTAGTAAAAGGAATCCATGGCAGCACCACCGCCCTTGGCGAACTGACTTGCGACATCACCATCGGCAGTCGAGACTCACCCACATTCAAAAAGGTTAACGTGCTGGTAACTACCCAAATCACACCGATCCTGATCGGCCAAAATATCCTATGTCACAACACGCTCGATTCCTATCTAATCGACAACCAAAATGCGACTATAGAATTCAGACGCACACTTTCCTCAGGATACACAACACACACAGCCGCAATCATATCACCGTCATCGTCAACCAACGATACAGCATATGGCGCCCAAGCTGACGTCATCCAAAACCAGCCTACTATGGAACTACAGCCCAACATCCAGACACTGGATCAAAAGCTAACCTGGCTAAAGCATAACACGGGGCTATCGCTACCAAACCACCCGAACCGAGACAAACTAGAGGCCACTGCAAACTTACTCATTCGCTACGCTGACGTTATCGGCACCGAAAGCAGCAGCAAAGACACATTCATCCGACCCATCCGCATACCAACCAACGGCCAGTCTCGCAGCCAGAAACAACACCCGATCGCCCAGGCTTTGGAAGCAGACGTTGATACCGAAATTAAGCGCATGGCCGATGAAGGTATCATTGAAAACTGCAGCGACCCCAAAGGCTTCAATAGCCCTGTATTTGCCGTACGCAAGAAAAACGGATCGATTCGCGTCGTCGCTAACTTTAAAAGAACTCTCAACAAGGTCTTAGTCGATCTTGACCCTTACCCAATGCCAAGGATCGACCACTTGTTCAACAAAATCGGCAAAGGCAATAGATATTTCACTACCCTCGATCTACGCAGCGGCTACTGGCAAATTGAGATCGACAAGCGAGACCGATACAAAACATCATTTACATGGAAGGACCAATGCTATCAATACACGCGCCTTACATCTGCCGGACAAATCTTCTCCCGTTGCATAGCAGAAGAAGCCTAGCCACGGTCACATCCCGTGACAACATTTCTTCCTATATCGACGACAACCTGGTCCACGCTAGGACATTTAGGGAGTACATACTCTCCCTCGAACAATTTTTACTACCCTCTGAAAATTCGGACTCAAGCTGAATCCAGATAAATGTTCCTTCCTCGTATCAGAGGCAAAATTCCTCGGACGCATAGTAAACAGCGAAGGATTCAAGGCTGATCCAGAATACGTTCGTGCCATCAGGTACATGAAACCTCCAACATCAAAAAAGGAATTACAAAGCCTTATCAGCTGTTTAGTGCGGATCAGATAATTCCTAGAGACACGTTTTCACGAACAAATCAGGTCAGATATGTTTTCAAAACTTATGGGTCCCATACACGAACTCAACAAGGTTAATAAACCGTTTATCTGGACACAAAATGCCGACAGAGCCTTCAAAATATCAAGGACCGTCTCTCTTTGCCACCCGTCATCTCGTTTCCGGATTTCTCCAAACCTTTCGCACTCACCACCGACGCCAGTGACGTCGCATGTGGAGCAATCTTAATGTAAGAAGCCGACAACAGGAAGAAAGATATCATAGATACATACAACTCCACGGAACAGAACTGGTCCACGACGGAACGAGAGGCGTCTGCAATAAAGTGGGCAATATTGAAATTTGATTATTTCCTTCGCAACCGCCCCTTCGTCATCTTCACCGACCACAGATCGCTGACATATCTGGACCAACGAGAGTTCAATAATGCCAAAATACGACGATGGCAAGAAGAAATTTCATGTTATAAATTCGTCTTAGAATATGTCGAAGGCGAATCAAATGTATGGGCTGACTCAGCAGAGGTTGCGGACATAAGAAAACGAAAGCCCTGAACGACCCTACACCGGCAGGCAGGACATTCGAGGTAAGCGGTTCAGACCTCCGCGTATACATCCCATCTTGGTGCCTCGGCGAGTTTAACGGTTTACAGCTCATTCCCAAAACTCACACACCACAAAACGCCCGCACCCACAAGCGCGTCACCAACGCATTCTTCGCCTATCACTCTACCACCACCATCCCCACTGAGAGAATCTGCAACCACCTCGGCATCGCAAATGAACAACAGAAGGACGACGCCCTGGCAAAGATCATCAGCGCCCTCCAGTCACCCACTCCAAGCGAACCTCATATCGATCCTGACGACCACCGAGCTACACTTTTCAAAAAACATTTGCACCAATTTTTTCTAGAACCAGGCACCTCCGTTTTGATGATAAGAGACAGTAAACACTCTCCGAGATTGGTTGTACCATACAAACTACGATCCAGATACCTCTACGAGGCACACGAGGGCAACAACCACTCAGGTGTTACCCGTATGCGAGAACTCCTTTCCAGCTACTGGTGGGAATTCAAAAACCACGACATCAAGGCCTATGTCGATTCTTGCGACACGTGTGCTAAGTGCAAGGGCAACTACGGTAGACGTACCCACTGGCCCATTGGCCACTGCAAACGAGGAAAGAGACCATTCGATCTCGTCTTTATAGACTTTGTCACAATGCCCAACTCAAAGGGAAAACGCTACATCCTAACCATCTTGGATAGCTCAGGACACTTTACAGCCATACCATGCCGACACTTTATCAACGCCATACCATGCTTCCGAGACACTGTGACCGTGCTATCGACGCCGCCCGCGGCCTGCTGATCCGAAACAGCAAAACCAGTTCTTCCTTCGACACAGAGAGATTCACGCATAGTATCCTCTGATCGAGGCACACACTTCACTGGAGAAGTCTATCGACAATTCTGTAACCAGATGTCAATCACGCAAGAACTTCACTGTCCTTGGCGAGCGCAAAGCTCAGG